TAGTTGTATTTAAAATAGTGCTAGGTGTGTTTTTACAATCCACAATGAACTAGCACTTTTTGAACATGAGTGTATGTGAACCTTTTGTCAACTTTTGTTTGAATATTTTGTTGAGTATTTTTGTATTGTTGTCCATGATTGTATATGCTTATATGCTTTTGTTATTGTCCTACAAATATGACCTGCCCATCCCTTGTATAATGCCCTGTTTTAGGGCCCTTCAAGGTACTAATAAATAAGTAAATAAATAAACTTAGGAGACGTCCGCCCCTGTTGTCTTTTCCTTGGACTTACACGCTTCCTAATTATAACGCACCGCAGGCTCAGGTGTTACATTATGACCATTTTTATATAACTTTCCAATCTGTCATGCATACAATGTCTTGCTTCGACATGCCATAATGCTTCTGGTACACATTATTGGTAAGCAGATGTCAAAGCCTCAAAGAGCTCTGACACTCTAAGATCATTCGGTAACGTACGTGTATAGTGCGTTGTAACAGCGAACACCGCACTTACGACGGGCTCTTTTATAGGTTTCCCCACAGATCATCAGTCGGGGTATCCCTTCGTTGATTTCATCGCTATCTCCAGCTGCAACTATAGGATTTATGCGTACGCCAACCGACGCGGAAGCTATCCTGTGGACGTCATGCCACTCTTTCATGGCATACAACCGTGGACCGGGCACGCTTAAAGAATCTAACGAATTCTACAATCCGGGGCCTGGAAACAAGTAGACAGACACAAAAAAAAATTCTTGAGACTGCGCTAATACTGTGGGAACGTCGCAACTCAGGCAGACTGAGAGGCAATATAAGGACCACCTTCGGGCTGCAACACAGTACACATACGTTTTGTCGCAGCAGGCGAGGGTAACTCCATCGAGGGCCAAAAAACAAGCTGATACTCTAAAGCAAGACGACACAATTCTTGGGAGCGTTGTCCTTCCACCGAACATCCAGCCAGCCTTAGGTAAGTAGTCGAAATCCTGCCAAAATACGATACTGCGTCCTGTAAACAAGTTGTCTCTCGCAAGGGTATCTTAAAAAAAAAGCGACTTCACAAGACAAAGAACGGTTTGTTGTCGACGGCGTCATTGTCATCCTTCGTATGCCTGCCGTGTTTTTTCACGAGGGGCTGCAAAGCTGCGCGCATCGTCGACTAGTTCAGGGAACCTCACTTGAATCAATTCACTTCTAATGAGGAAGGTGGCTTTGCAGTTGTTACGCGAGACACGTTCAGTGAGAAGACACGACAAGCAATCCTCAAGAACTTCAAACAAGTGTGTCCAGGACACTTGACGAAGCTTAGGTCACGCACCAAGGATCTTTGCGGTGTAATGAACTTAACGGGGTTGCAATAAAGCGTGCAATGTAGCAAGAGGCAGCGTCTGAACATTTTCTTTTCTGCCAAAACTTACAAAACTTACTCTTCGCTGGCCATCCAAACGACTCGGCAAACACTTCGCCCAGAACGGCTGCCTGGTCGTCACTCGAGCTGGAGCTAAGCTGGTATCTTCGTCGCTGTCACTGCGTTTTATTAGACCTCCTGAAATTAACTGCAACGATGTCATCGCCGCAGTATGCTCGGGCGAGTCGGACATGACGACGGGAACGAAAGCAAAACATACCAAGCTTCCCACCCAGCAATGGAAACGAAAAAGCCGCGAAACTCCTTCACTCCGCCGTGGGAATGTCGATAACGAAACTGAAACGTTGCAAGAGACAACTACACATCGTACTCCTCCGAAAAAGGCTGCGCGGAGAACTACTCCGGACCGCTCGACGCGCTCCGCCACTTTTCCACGGAGCGGTTGGAGCCGCTCGGCGAGCGCCCCACTGGCTCCACATATACAAGCGGCACACGGAGAGATTGCTCTCATCTCGCGAGGGAAACAAGAATCCGCTCGGCGAGCGCGCACCGAGCACTCGCAATTTGCCAGGGGAAGGGGCTATTACAGTTGAATTTTATCTACACTTCTCTTTCTCACAACGTCCTGTCTACCAAATGGACCAGCGAAGTAAACCTCTCTCCCCCCCCCCCCCCCCGCCCCAAACATACACACAACGCACAATAGAAATTTCTCGACACAATATTCCATGAATGTATTGGGCATCTGAACCAAGCTGAAGAAAAATTTTTGGTCTGAGGAAATAAAGCGTTACAAAACTGAAAGACATGGCAGTAGCATACTTTTTACTTTTGCACGTGTAGAAGAACCATTCATTTCTATTAGAAAGGTAGAAAAGCCAAAGGCTATCTATCGGGTTGCTCACCGACAGCAACTACCAGGAAAGGGGGGGGGGGGGGCATGATTGTGAAGGCAGCTGGTGTCCAATGCTTGTGCCTTTCTGAAAATTTAAAGTAAGACTTTTAAAGCAAAATGACCCCAACTATTTCCACAAAACAATCTTTCATTCCATTTCTCATACTAAAAAGTTGGTATGAGGAACTTTGCCGGGCTGACACGGTACAGATTCTGGTATTCATCTGCGTCTAGAAGCTTCTGTCAAATCGTGTCTAGCACGACGCAAGCGCTTTGCATCTCCACTGAACCGTTCAGCCAGCAAGACCTTTCTTGTGGGGCTGTCGTGAACCAGCCGAGGTTGGAGTTCGACCAGGTTCGACTTCTTCTAACTTCTTGCGAAAAGTTAGAAAAAGATTCGACTGCTATTCGCACGCGTGACATGCTGGCCAGTTGGCTTCGGATTGGATGGTGATGGCTAAGGGATGAATTAAGGGCAGCACCGATTGGTTATTACAGTTAATACAGTACAAAAAATTAAGTTATTTACTTGTTCAGTAGTAAGAGTTAGTTTCTTTCATTTGCATCTGTTTATACAATTAAAATAACCCTTTGAGTGAAAACAAAATTGTGTAGACATAGACATGCTTGCCACGCTGTCCACGAAGTCGAACAAGTCAAATCTGGTTAAAAGTTTCGAAGGTTTGTCGAACCAGTTTGACACAGTCGAACCCCGAATGCTCGACCTAAAAATCCGGTTTGCCAAAAGTTCGCGGCACCCCTACTTTCTTGTGGCCGTGGTGTACTGAAGGCGCGAGCACGGAGTGAGTGAAGGCGTCTCCAAATCAGTGTTGTACACGTTCCTCAAAAAGAGGAACGAAAGGTCGTTCCTCGTTCCTTAAGATTTTTGGAACGCGTTCCCGTTTCAAGTTCCATCTGAGAGAAAGGAACTCGTTCCCGTTACTGTTTAAAAAATGTAACGTATCGTTCCTTATACGTTACATTTATATTTTTGCTAATTACCGTATATAATTAGATCAAACAAAGTTTGTTTTTTATCTATCCCATCAAATGGCAACATACAAATTTGAATGCCGTGATGCCACGAGACAAAAAAAAAAAAGAAAAGCAAAGCTGAAGCAAGGTTCTATTTGTTGATGTATTCATCTTTAAAAATTCCAGCGTTTTACCATATTCATGCTTCTGGTGGGCGATTCAGACGAGCCAAGTGCACTGTTAGCCTGGAAATTGGAGCGGGGTCAATTTTATTGTTCTTTATTAGAGGGCTACCACACGTTGCACGAGCGGTTTACAACCTTCCACGTTTCAATCTAACAAAGTCCCTTGTTGGAACTTAATAAGAGTTGCTTTCCGATTTTGCTGTCCGCAACACGAGCCCGCATTTTTTGTCAGCACTTCGTTGGCAACGCTAAACAACCTTTCCACCGAAGCACTTGAAGGCACTGCCGTGTTGTACTTGAGGAAAAGGCGGTGCAATCCCTCGAAGCTCTTCATCTGCGACAGAGGGTAGTCGATTGGCACCAGCAGGTACCGCGACAGTTCGTCTTGTGCTTCGGGCTGAATGGTCTGCTGCCCGAACGAGAAAAAATATTCTGGTGTTGTGGAGACGGCAACATCTGCCATGGCACCTGGGGTCACCGAAGCTAGCTCTGTCTTGAGGTAGTTGGACACTTGGTCACGCATAGAACCATCTTCAATCCACGAGAACTTGAACCTTGGAATTAAGCAACTGGAGATCACCAGCTCACTCTCGTTCCTTTCTAGTGTCCAAACCTGACCTGTGATTCCGGACTATTAATTAGACGGGAAACATTTCTTCTCCTTCTCAATGCCGGTGAGAACCGAATTTGCGAGGGGACCGCAATATGCAATTTCTTTCATGGCCTCGTACTTTATTCGTTTTTCAAGGTTGGCCAGGGTAGGAAGCAGATAACCAATAAACATGTGCTCCTGTCGCTGAAGGACGTCCAGCGCACAGGAGAGTGGCTTCATGACCTTTGGCGTGATAAAAAGTGGAGGGATGCATTACTTCAAAACTCAAGGAAAACATACAAAATACTAACAAAATACCAATATTAGCAAAGATGCAATATATCGGTGCCAACTACTTAGACAATACACTTTCGGCTCGAAAGCGGGCTTTTTCGGTCCCAAAACCGCAAGTTCACGATCGAGTATTCTGGGGTGCTCCCACTTTCTTTTCAATGATCCCATGCAGTGACGACATGGTGCACGAAATATTTACGAAGTTCTAGGACGTATAAGGTACACATCTATAAATAAATTTTACATTTTATAAAACGCAATGCTTTATGACTATTGTGGGTTAAATGTTGGCACCATAATCTAAAAAGAAAAAAAAATGCTTTGCACAAAAAAAATATATATAGCAAGACATGTGCACTGTAGTTTCTACGTCATCTAGCTTGGTCGCGCGTGGGGGTCAGTTTATAAACTAGCGGTGTATCAGCGTTCGGATAGAAAATCGAGTTGGAAGATGCAATTAATGCAGATGCCTTGATATATAGGTGAAGTTTCTCAGCGTCTACCTTCAGAGGAACTAAAGACAAGGAAGTAGATGCTGCTATCCAAAAATAGCTGCATATGCAGGTTAGCCTGTATATTTTATAATAAGTGATCAAAATAAGAATAAATTGCAATACCAGCGATATGTTTTACTTATCACACACGTTCCCCTAAAATGGGTGATCAATGAAAATGCATCACTTACATTGCAGTATTCTTCCATATACTTGCACTCTGTTGGACGATTGCAAACCTGCAGTTTCAGGTTGCAGAGAAGCCAGTCCAGGTACTTCCCTTCGTCGTGCAGCTTGAGGAGATGTTTCATGGCGTCGTGGAGGGAGTTTCATCTTGTTGCGTTCGGTCGTTGGAGATAGACACCACAATGACTCTTGAGTAAGTCAGCCGCGACGTTTGATTGCCCCTGCCTGCTCCACAGCGCTGCACACTCTCTAAACACGGATTTCGCGATTCTAGAGTACTGGACGTCAAGCTCAGCAGCAGCGGCATCTACAGTTGCCACCAAGTTCAATGTGTGCGCTGCACACCTAACGTGCGGAAGTAGTACACAGTCAAATTCGTCAGATGCGTGGAGAATGTCTCCGAGTTCTGATGGTCGCGCCTCACATTCGTCGCGTGTTCGTTGGTCTCATTTTCGCCGAAAAGCCCGAAATGTAAAAAGAAAATAAGTTGAAGTGCGTATACTAGTACAAAGTAAAGAGTAGCATAACTTTTTATTATCAGGCGATCAGTTTTTAAAGATTTATCTGAATGCCTTTACGAAGTTCCACCCATTGTCTGTAACCACAGAGGTTATTTGCCCTGGATGTTGTACTCTTCAAACACCGAAGACAATACCTCCGCCAGCTTGTCGTACGTCGAGCGACCGATTACACGCCGGAATGCGTGCGCAGCTGTATTTCTCTCAAGAGTGCATGGATTCAACCACAAGGCAACAACGCCAATGAAGCTCCTGTAAGAGTACATCATTAGGCAAACAGATTATATACGTCATACACTCACTCCAATAATGATAATACACTATGAAATAAAACACACCTATGAAAGCTTGACCAAAGGTCGGCAGAAACAGCGACGCGATCCACGCTGATCAGTTCCAGCGAAAGCTTCTGCTTCATGTCTTCAAAGCGTGCGTCAATCCGATCGGTCAACATTCGCCGAGAGAATGTTTTCCTGCCTGGAGCGAGACTTTCCACAAGATCTGTAAACGCATTTTCTTCGACAATAGAGAATGCGTGCAGGCCTTCCACAACAAACGTCGTCACGAGTTGGTCCAGCTTCTGTTGAGAGACAGGTTGCTTTCCGGATAACTCCAAGCGCGGCTGTTTTTTAGGCTCTTTAGCCGAGGATGTCTCCTCGCCGAGACGTTTCCGCCCCCCTCCTTTCATTAGGCTCTTATATTCCCCGAGCTTGTGAAGATGAGCTCTCTGAAAAAACAGTAAGAAATGGTGCTACAAGATGGCTGCTCTACTTATACAGGCTATTGAACCCCGGCCAATATAGCGCATCGCACAAAACAAAAACAAAAGTTAATGATGTATTGGTTGTTGCGAAATGAACTATTCATAAGTTTAAATAGCGCTCGGGATCAGCAAGTTTCCATCAGACACATCAGGGTTACCAAAAAAAAGAAAACAAAACGGAATTACCTTATTTTACTAAAATGTTAATCTCGTCATTTCGTGCAAACTTTCCGGTGCACGGATGTTCTGTTCAGTGCTTCGGATTCCCCATATTTGAGTAGATCTGGTGGTAAATAGATGCATCGGTAACAACTGACGTTATCCAGGAGAACCTGCTGCTTTAAAAGGAAAAGGAAAGCTGCACAGCCCAGGCAACACCCCTTTCGCAAGAGCAACGTTAAAAAACGTACTTACGCGTTTGAAAATCTAAAACCGGCGAAAACGATAGGTAACATGAATGCAAAATAACAAACCATTAACCTAGTCACGGAATGCATAACTTCCTATAGTTGCCGAGCATGAAAGAAAAATAAATGAACCTTACCTGGACATGTTTATTTAAGTTGGCAGCAGATGTCTTCGATGCTCCGATCATCTTGCTTGACGGTGCACAAGTCAAGCATTGGTATGTTATGTTGCCATTGCCCTTGCCTTGGACAGGTTTGAACATTGTTGACAGCCATGGCCAGGGACATTCGACTTGGACGTCGGCACACATTGTGGCAGTTTTCACTTAACCACAGACACACAAGGAGGTCCTTGATGCACACCCAAGAAAGCGCCTCCTCGCCACAACTCCCGGGCGCGTGTAGTTGCGTTCTCGTGGAGTAAAACCATGGGGCGAATCCGGGATCCCTGATTAGCCTTTTTTGAGGCACGTCTCAATTGCGCGCTCGCCAACAGCTACCGCTGACTAACACACGTTCAACCTAGTTTACGCGGTAGAGAGGGAGGGGGTGGGGGGTTCGGGCCATCGGCAAACGCGCGCCCGTGTTTCGCAGGTACATACATGCCACCTGCTGCACAGGGATGCCGCCTCGAGAGATTTGCTTGCTGGCTTTACGCGGCCCAACGCTTGGCACTCCGCCACGCAGTTTTGGGGTTTGTATCGGACGCCAAACCTAACTGTTGTTTCCCGCCAAATATCGCTAGCCGCACTGCTCGTGTCACTTTGTAAAGTGCCGCCAGAAATTTCCGCCGCGGAGCGGCGTGAACGCGATGGCCTTTTTTGAGGCATTTCAGAAATACGCGCCTTGCCGACAGCTAGACATGCCACGGCCGGGGTCTTCTTTTCTGGATAACACACGATCCAGAGATGCCGCCTCGAGAGATTTGTTTGTTGGCATGGCCCGACGCTTTTACCGCTCCACCACGCGGCGCTGGATTTGTATTCGCCGCCAAACCTAACTGTTGTTTACCGCCAAATGTCGTCAGCCGCACAGCTCGTGTCACCTCGTAATGCGCCGCCGCAGATTCTCGCCGCAGAGCGGCGTGAACGCGATTGGCCTTTTTTGAGGCACATTGCGCGCCCCGCCGACAGCGAGACATGCTATGGCGGCGGCTTCTTTTCTGACTAAAACACGCTGCCCCTGGTTTAGGCGGTAGAGAGAGGAGAGGGGGCTCGCGGGGCATGAATCAACGCGCGCCTGTGTTTCGAGCGCAAAAGATACCGCTCTTTAGACAACATTTTGGCGCTGGTCGTACCTCGCCGGCACCCGACTGCTACAAAGCAAGGACGCGGCAACATAAAGCCTAGAGTAAGTAACAAAAACATTATCGCGATCCCGCTCTTAGTAAATATATTGTTTTAATACTTTTTAGAGTTTTGCCCTTAGGAACAAAATAAAAAAAATACACCACTGGACAAAAAAAAAAAAGAAAGGAACGCCGTTCCTTTTTTTGTTCCCGTAAAATTTAACGAGTTCCCGTTCCAGTTGAACCAATAAAAGATGGAACGGCGGCGTTCCTTCGTTCCTCCTAAAAGGAACGCGTTTTAGGAACGCCGTTCCGTACAACACTGCGACACTTGCGCCTGGCACACGCCCGCCCCAGTCCCGCACGTCGTTGCGTAAAGGATGTCGTGACATCTCGTACCACGTGATGGCCATGTTGTTGGCGGTCCGAGGCCAGTCTTGCCGCACGCAGCCGTAGTTTCGATTCTGATTTCCGCTCGTGTTTAATACTAGATTTAAAAATACATATCTCATTTTTTTACGAAGCAAACGACCTGGTGTCTTTTACTAGGGCTTTTTATCGTAGAATCACTCATTATCCCTAAATCCTCGGAATTTAGCGGAGTTGCCCTTTAAGAAATAGAAGAGAAATTTCCGACAATATTTTATACGGCATTCAATGAAATGGTGGTCTACAGTTAATTTTTGATTATTGCTACCTTTAGTAATATTAGTGTTAAAAGGTTGTCGGATAAGAAGTAATACGTTTGAATTCACCTCCAATTTCTTCTCTTCAACAGCAGCTGACTTTTTGGTGATTTACTTGTACCTAGCAGAATAGCTTTATTTTATCTTTTGTTTGGTCATTATAAATAAAGTGGTGGCTAGTGACTATTACTGACAATTTGACATATTTAGGTTGCCGCTGCAATACCTCTGACTGTTTTTTATTGCAAATGGAGGAACATAGATTGAAAATTAAAGCCTGCAAGTTCGAGCACATGGTGTAACGTTATAATGAATAACCTAACTAAAATGAAAGGGTGCTTCCAGCCATCAGACAAACATTTTGCTAGACGAAGACAGAAACACAATAATAAACATCTTAATTATTACATCTCCGACACACAAATACACAGGGCTAAGCAGCAGATAAAGGTAGCCTATGAGAAACAACGCGACAGAAAAGGATCGAGGAAACGTCAACTCGATCCTGTTCTGCAGTGTTCGTTTTTATAACCTGAGTCTCATTTCTTTTTTTTTTTCTTTTTTTCACAATGTTCACTTTTATACCAGCTCTCTTGCGCCCTTGTGTTCTGTTCAAGCTTATGATGATAAATTATGTATATAAATTTTGTCCCCCTTTTATCACAGATTGACTCCTGGGATGACAGTCAAACGTGACTCATGTATAAGACATGCATGAGCATTTTGTGCAAGTTCTAAAGCCTTCAAAAGGTTGCTTTTCACTGACGAATGTTATATTTGAAAGTTTGTGTCAATCATTATGCTCTCCGATAGCGATAACCAACAACGGCCTGACTCAGACAAAAAGGTATCTTATCAGAGCGCAAGAGCGGTCCTCTTAAACGTGCCTTTTGCGCAAAAGAGGATAATTCAGCACCCTTACCTCAGTAAAAATTATTTTGATTGGCGCCTCCATGTGTCTCGGTCGACGGGTTCACCAGTGCGCACCGCCTTCGTTATTCTTGTCGAGGATTTAACTTGTGGGTGGCCACCAAGAAATGCTTTTTTGTGTGTGAGACCCAATGAATGGGTACGATCTCATAAGCATTTTCAGGGATAAAATGAACAACGGAGAATTTTGACATGTTGTAAAAAAATCCTGAAATTCTGTCCTGAATACAAATGAAATATAAAGCCCGGAAAAGTGGAACTGAAGCAAATCACGTTAAAAAAGACTTCAAATGGTTTCGCTCCTAAACGGTGACTGGTTATGGGTGAAGACGAGAGCGCAGGAGAGCTATACTTCGTTTCAGAAGTTCCGTGCAGCAAGACGGAGGCTAGTTGCTGTAAGTAGGCAACCTCTTGCGCAATAAGAAAGAGCACCTGAAGCAGACGACAGGAAGACAACGACGAGAGAGAGAGGGAGAGAGCTAGGGAACGTCAAAAGGTCAAATAGAAACGAAATGTAAGACTTTGAACATGAT